GTCTATTTATAGAATGGCCAATCCGCAATTCAGTTCGGATACAGCTCCAAAATGTTCACGGCCACGCACGGCTGAAGGGCATGCTTCATCGGGCAGGACACTGGTGTCCAAACTGTTCGATAGTGGTGGCATTTACAATACTTTGGCTATAATAGTAGCGTGGGTAGGCCTTCTACTAGGTGGACCGATGATCTGTTAAAGGTCGTGGGAAGAACCTGGATGCGGGTAGCGCAGGACCGTTCATTATGGAAAGCCTTGGGGGAGGCCTTTGTCTAGCTGTGAACGTCATTTGACTGAAACGACGACGACGACGACATAATAGTAGATGTAGTTAAATCGACAAGACTTGGAGCGAGATCAAGCGCGAAGTTCAAGATCAAACGCGAAGTTCAAGACCAAACGCGATGGAGGACTGTTATGGACGCCCTCTGCCCCATCTAGAGGACATAAGATATTAAGTCCTTTCAAGTAAGTACCAGCAAATCGAGATACAATAGAAATCAATTATTACCGCGGTCTCATGCGACTGCTTAGGGTTCCAAGGGCTATTTGACGAAACCTACCATCCGTCTCAGATGAAAAATACAATTTACAATAATCAATATAAACTTCACTTCGACAATATTTACTACTTAATTTTAAGAGAGCCTTAAAAGTATTCGATGGGCAAGTGCAAATTCATAAGTTCAAATCCCGCCTCAGGCGTTTAATTTCACGTCAAAATATGTTCCAAAACACAACCGTTGTTTAAAAGAACCCGATCTGATATCTCGTTGACATCTCATAAAAACTCAATTTTATTTTTGCTGACATGAACCGACGGGCTGTTGACCTTTGGTTCGATATTCGCGTTTAATAGACTTCTTTGGGAACCGGAGGGTAGTCTGTTAATTTGTACCCTCACACGCGTTCCATGTTGTCGCGGTTAGTATGCGAAACTAAATTATTCGCGGTGTAACTGGGTGGAGACATTTAATATAACGGATGTATAATATTAATATGCTGGGTTGGCTGTAACTTTTTTATTTCAGTGTGTCGAGTATAATATGTTAGTAGGCAATCTTCATAGAGTTTTGTGAATAAATACTCGTCAAACAAATTTTTCGAAATAATTGTCACTATATTCGATAATGTTAACCAAACCACTTCCTTTTAATTTGAAATGTTACAATCTTTCATCGTAGTTAAAAAAGTGCTACTTCATAATTGCTGTAATAGACGAAAACAATGATGACGAAGGACGTAATGTGGTCAGGTCCCCCACTAGTTGGACCGACGATCTGGTGAAGGTCGTGGGAAGTACCTGGATGCCCCAGGACCGGTCGTTATGGAAATAATTAGGGGAGGCCTTTGTCCAGCATTGCACTTCATTTGGCTGAAACGAACGAACGATGCTGTAGACTCAGAACGAAACCTGATTCAGAACGAAATATTGAAAATTCCTTATACTACCCAGTTTCGGGTATTACAAGCAATATAATATTTTTGCGAGTGAAAATCGATGGAATTTCGCAAAAATATAGAGTTGATATTTAGGATTAATCTCTACAAACCATCGATGGGTATTTGAATAGTTTGATTTGATTGTGAATATCGTTAATGGATGCTTTTAAAGTGCGAGCAATAAAAAAAGTTATTGATATTGAAAAATGAAAACACGATACTAGTTGCAACAAATAGTTTTGGTAAACATTGGTCAAAACCTTTCAATATAATTTTCAGTTAAAAATATGTGGGGGTTTCCTCGTAAAATAAATAAGAATTAATCTCATATTTGCAAACTTTCATAAAGTTGTTACGTCATTAATACTGTATCCTTGACTATAAATTCAGACCTGCAATATACTAAAAAATCAAGCTACCAACTGACAGAAGTCCAACTCTAATATCGATACATCTAAAGGGTAGTGTCCCTGCACTATCAGCGAGTGCAGTTAGTGGGCATCATAAATCAGCTTCCGTCCCCCGTAGGCACGTCTTAATACAATTTTATAAGTGACGTGTACAAACAAACAACTTTTATCGATGTTGTCATTTAAAAGATCGATAAATTCTTTTCAGCGACGATTTTAAAATCGTCAAGGAATGCGGCGTTATTTAAATTTTTTGCTGGTATGGAATCTTACCTTTGAATTTTTTTATTGAGATGGGATTTTCAAACAAATATTTTGCATGGCGTTTCGTGGAAATTTAATCGCCAGTTATTTTTCATAAGCGTAGTCAATATTTTTGGTGATGTTTAAATATTTATACGAACTGTAAAAAGAATATCATAAAAGCTGTACACCGATAACATTTTGATATTCATTCACTAATAAATTAATTCCAGCCGGTTATTCAACCTGTAATTGAAATTACCTTTTAAAAGAGTTCAATCCCACAAAGAATTATTATTTTCAGCAAAAACTTCGCGGTCAAAGTAAAACATTTCACTTCACCCTTATCTGTCCGCAGAAGGAAAATGAAGTGAAAAATAATCTGACGCTTACCAAGGTCTCTCCAGTTTGTTTTTCGCACAACGTTCCAGATTAATTTTATATCTTTTTGTAGATTGTAATAGATTTGCTTTGAGAACTGACGTTTTTGTTTACTTAATTTTTCTTCAGTACTGTAGGGTACTCGTACTCCATTGTGAAATTGTTTGAAGAGAATACAAATTAGGAAATTAGTTACAAAAGAACTAATTAGTTTACTGTTTGAATAATTCTTAATTGGAATGAGGCTAATCGTGGTATTGTGGAGGGTTTTTCAATGCTTATTTTGTGCTGATTTTTGATAAAGCTAAAATGCAATTATTCTTACACAGCTTTCGTTTTTTAAATTCCCTTAATCATTTAGCTGTTGACAGATAGCAGCATAAACTAAAATACGAATTAAATTTTGATTACCTTATTAAAAAACTAATCCACATATTTATAGGAGATATATTTTATTTCACGATAAAAACTATCGACCCAATTCTATCGACAAAATCCTCGCACACCGTCACATCACTAGCCATCTGGCTACATAAATCAAGGGGACATACGCCCTATCTGTTGCCGGCTTAATACGATCCCTGAAACGGTGTGGGGGGTGGGGGGATGATATTTTTTTACAATCTACGTGTTAGCAAGCCGAGCATTGTAGTGTACTGAGTATTAGAGACTAGCTGTGCCCGCGACTTCGTACGCGTGAAAACCCGTTTTCGCAACATTTTGCTCTGCACTTATTACTCGTAGCGTGATGGTTTATAGCCTATAGCCTTCCTCGATAAATGGGCTATCTAACACTGAAAGAATTTTTCAAATCGGACCGGTAGTTCCTGAGATTAGCGTGTTCAAGTAAACAAACAAACAAACTCTTCAGCTTTTTAATATTAGTATAGATGTGGGCCTACGTACGTCTTGTTAGGGGAATATGAAATATGTGATGTGATTCGTAAAGGGATGTATTGTGCCTAGACTGTCAAGGTCCATCAGTTTGATCTAGGCTAGAGTCTGACGTCTACATTTAGACATAATCTGATGTTAATGTTATGTAAAAGTAAGGTTTGAGAGTTTGTAAGCTTATTTCTAAACCTATTTCAAAAATATTTCGCTACATTCCTAACGCGATTTGTGTTCAAACAATAAATAGTTTTTGGAAACCCACTGGAGCAAAACCGCGGGCAAAGGCTTGTTTCTATATAGGGTGTGATTACGATCAGAGGTGGAATTGTGTAAAGCAATCGTAATCACTTGACAGTTCATAACGTACGATAAAGTCAGTTAAACAAATCGTTTGACAGAATAATCGTACGTTATGAACTGTCAAATGATTACGATTGCTTTACACAATTCCACCTCTGAATAGTATCCATAATTATTGCTAATATTTGTTTTCTTCTAAAGTGGAAATGTTATGTCCTTCAAAACAAGGTTTTCTGCAATTTGTTTTTTACTCAAAACGCCAAATATTTCGTTCATTTCTAAACTCATTACGGTAATTACGTCCAGAGGACTTCAAAGCTTAATAACATTAAGACAAAAGTTTAATTTCGGGGGTTCCTTTTATTAGTATTTTTCGGACCGTTTACTTCAGTTTTTCCGGTGCTTTATTACGTTTAATATCTCTGTTTGGTCTTTATGACAATTTCACTTTACTAGCCTGGTTCTGGCTCTTAAGTGAATGTTTAAAAAAATAATAAAAAACGTCTTTTACGTTCAAATCAAATCAAGGCAGAAATGTAACCCACGACCTTTCGCTTGCCGGGCGACTGCTTTTCAATCTGAGATACTGGGTAAACCCGTCGAAAAGTTGCATAAAACAGGACCATTCCGATCTCGCGTTTCCACCGCTGCAACTCCTGTGTAGCCAGGATCTACAGCTTGAATACGAACCCAACCAGTGAAGGCCAAGTTTGTCCCGGGGAAAAGTTAAACTGTCATTGGACCCGCAACAAAATTAATCAGAAGAACATACGAGGAGTTTTATCATGGCCACCCGCGATATCGTACACGTGGATCCCGTTTTACGCCCTTAGGGGTTGAATTTTGCAAAATCCCGTCTTAGTGAGCACCTACGTTCTAAAAGGAACCCCCATGCACAATTGGAGACTCCTAGCACTTGTAGTTTCTGAGAATTCGCGATGAGTGAGTGACGGGGCTATTCCCACCTCTCGTTCCCACCGCCGCAACTCCTGTGTAGCCAGGATCTACAGCTTGACCACCATAAAAACCCAACCAATGAAGGTACCAGTATAGGTAATATTAGTAGTAGTGTGGGATATGATGCTCAACCACAATCAAGAAACTAAGGTGTTAGTGTTTCCTTCCTGGTGTTGTGCTCGGGGACCAAGGTCCAATTACACCATCTTGATTTTCCTGATATGCTGGGCAGGGCAGAAAACTTCGACACCGCGATGCAGGATTCTACGCGCGGTGGTGTATAGGTACCATAGTGAAGTCGTAACAGCGCCATCTGTTGGTACACTAAGGTTTGTAGTGGCGTATCATAGATGTCGCCACAGTAGTACTTACCGGTAAGCCATCCGGATCTGCTCCCCGTTCTTGTACCATATCAGCTGGGCTGGGGGGTTGCCCCCCCTACTCCTGCATACCAGCTCGAGGCTCTGTCCTCGGCGGACTGTCTCTCCTTCCGCGTAGCCTTCGATGTAGGGGGCTCCAGGGGGATCTGTGGAAGAAAGAGTGAGTTCATACAGGGTGAAATTTGAAATCGTTGGTTAGTTCGTTCGTTCGTTTCAGCCAAATAACGTCCACTGCTGGACAAAGGCCTCTCCCAAGGTTTTCCATAATGAACGGTCCTGCGCTGCCCGCATCCAGGCTCTTCCCGCGGCCTTTACCAGATCGTCGGTCCACCTAGTAGGAGGCCTGCGCACGCTACGTCTTCCAGCCCGTGGTCGCCACTCGAAATCGTTGCTATCCTTTCAAAAAAAGACTTCCTTCTTGTCGTGTCGACAACAAACCTACACAGTGTTAGCTCAAAACTACGCTAAAAGAGTGGCGTTGTCAGTAGCGTTCATTATATTCTTGCGTGCAGTTATTTGGGCACGTAGGGCATGATGATAATAATATACTGCCTATAGCCTTCCTCGATAAATGGGCTATCTAACACAGATAATTTTTCAAATCAGACCAGTTGTTTCTGAGTTTCATTTATCATTAGAATCGTACATTATTCCTGATAAACACAGGCTATTTTCCATTGATACGAAATTCGCCGGGTCAGCTAAATTAAAATAGGGTTGCATTTGAATCGTTAAATCAACCCTTTTAATTTCATGGGTTTGATAGAAGGAACGTGTTAAAGCCTACTTGCAAAATAAATTAATTTGGATTTGAATCCACACTAAAAGCGACACCCTGTATACTTACAAAGAATTCTTATAAATCTAAGTTAAAAATGATACACAACCACTCCAACGCAAAACACAATCTGCAGTCTCTAAAAGGGCGTTTAATTCCTTCAATCCCCCCAATTTAAGAGGGGAGAACCCGTCATTTTTCTCAAAGAACTCATAAGAAACCCCCTAAGAGAAAAGGCTAAACACTTTTCCGAGTGAGTGTACACGAAAATTGCTTCTAAAGTTAATTTTCCTAGGCCTTGCAAGGTTTTCATTATAATATTAAGGATGTGACTTTAAAAGAGGAAAATTTTGTGCGAATTGCACGTGTCAGTACTCATTAAAAAAATGCCTAGGAAAGTTCTTGTTAAGGTACCTTTTTCACGCGGTTTTGGCTGCGTTAATCCTTACTCTATTTTTCAAATAATTACTGGCAACTAGTGGTGACTGAGTTTGTTCCGGCGTTTCTTCTCAGCACTTGCTATGTTTGTCTCGAAGCGCTAGTAGGGCCCAAAAGATAAGGAGACATGTAAAGTGTCCTTAAGGGCTACCTTTTTTATTGTATTTGACGTTCATAAGTTCCACCAGTGGTGGAAATTAAATAAAATATTTTTGATTTTGATTTTGAATTTAAGTCTGTCATACCCTGTTACTTAAGGATAATGTAGCATTGTATTGATGAAATATTTTTTGTAATCGGTCCAGTAGTTTCGAAACTTATTCAATACAAACAAACAATCAAATTATTCTATAACATTGGTGTAGATCAGAGCTAGGCAATTTAATAATAATAAAATCTGTATGTAATCCTAATTACCAATTAATAATAAATCATACCAAATTATAATCCCATTAAAACTATGATGACAATATGATGGATGGAATAGATTACACACAATTAACGGGAGTTGCTATATAATGTATGTTCTATTAGGGCTGTAGAACAGGGGCCTGAGTGTAAAAAAATATATGAAAATTTTAGTTCTTGAAAGTTTCCGCTAGGGGCGCTGTACAATCCTTCATACATTTAATGTCATTTTTTACGCGCTCACTAGTGACGACGTTTGATGTGAACTCACACTAAGCCATTAGGGATGGCGAATCATTAAGGTAAACTCATAGTAAGCACTCAGGGATGGCGAAGCATAAAGAACGAAGCTGCGAAGCACACCTTAACCCGGAAACGGATCGTAACCGTATCAACTCGAGGCGATCAGTATTCTTTCTATGAAACTCCGTATAGCAACGCACACTTATCCGCACCGTTACGTAAACGTTTTCTAATGTAAACCTCGATAGGTGACATGCAAAAAAATTAATAAGAAATGCCATACCGCCAACGTGGTATAAAGTATCATACCCGTATCTATAATGCAGCTGTAAAACTTCCACTTCTACCCTGTTAGCGAGTTTTATTATAATTGCGCGTTAACCTACCACAGGGGAAGTGAAACAGCCAGAACATTTAAATTAAAACAACACTTAGGGCTCGTTCCCACGGCAATTGCAGTATCGTGCAATCCCGCGAAAAACGTATAAATTGTCAAGTTTGTATTCAGTTTTTAATAATATGTTATTTAGGGGCAAGTTTTTCGTACAATCTTGATTTTTCTGTTACAAAATGTTGTCCAATTCTACCTTTGGTAAGGTCTGAATTTTATCTGTCATATTTTGCTTTCACAATCTAGGAGCTGGTCCAGATGACGCGTCTTTTTAACAATTTTTTTTTAGTAAAAACCTTATCTTGCTAGTGTATCATTTATGTTTTGTAATATCATTTTTTTCACTGTAATTTTTTACACCTTTTTACAAATACTGGCTGTTAAAATTTAACTGTGTCTAAACCGCTCAACTTTTAATGTATAGTTGTATCCATTATATTAGTTTTCTTGATTTAGTGTCGCAATAAAATGAACCGTTTTACTTCGAAGATGATAAAATACGTAATGAATTTTGTATTGCCGTCCTTTTCATGAACATACCGTAAAAGAGGGACAAATGTACTCGTTATAGGGAAAATTTGTAGATCCTTTATAAGATATTTTCGTAGGCGAGTCGATTTAGAGTTCTAGTCTAATATATTTTATACTAATGTAACAAATCGCTTGTGAGTTAGGGGATTTCTCAAATCTGTTGTCTGATATTTTTTTACATAAGTAGTTAGTTACTTACAGGAAACTACAATTACTTAGTGTATTATCTGAAAGATAATATTGTTCTTACATTCGTGTTTAGTCCGAAAATACCTTATATTGTTTATTATAGTAAATATATCCTTCTTAATTTCTCAGTTCTGCTAAAAATAGATATTTAAAGATACATAGCACTCAATGAGATCTTAACGCCCGTATTCACAAACATTACTATGAGGTCTCACAGTGCGCGTGGACGCACAGGGTCACGCGAACCAATCACAGAGCTCTATTCAACGCTGTGCGTTCGATTTGCTGCTTCACTTAAGCAAGCATCGTTTGTGAATACGGGCGTAAGTCTCCATAATATTATTAAAAGAAGAATGAAAATTACAAAGCTCAGTAATTTCTCAAAAGCAAATAAAGAATGCCTATTTTAAGATTGTCAGGTATTACAATTAAACGTTTTCTTTATTTTGTCTAAGGCATCGCCACACTGGATGCGGTCTGCGGTCACAGCAGATCAAAGTGAACGTAGCCCGCATTATATTTTCATAATGGTTACTAAACCTTTGTTTGTCACCTGTCATCCGCTTTGCAATGGAGGGAAGGCGAACCTTAACTTCGAACTTCTCCTATGTTCTTCTGATTAATTTCGTTGCGGGTCCAATGACAGTTTAACTTTCCCCCGGGACTAACTTGACCTTCACTGGTTGGGTTTTTATTGGCGGTCAAGCTGTAGATCCTGGCTTGGCTACACAGGAGTTGCAGCGATGGGAACGAGACGTGACTCAACCAATGAAGGTCAAGTTTGTCCCGGGGTAAGTTAAACTGTCATTGGACCCGCAACGAAATTAATCAGAAGAACATAGGAGTTCGACAGATGCTTGACATAANCATCATCATCATTTTAGCCATAGGACGCCACTGCTGAACATAGGCCTCCCCCAATGCTTTCCATGTTGCCCGGTTGGTAGCGGCCTGTGTCCAGCGCCATCCTGCTACCTTTATGATGTCGTCGGTCCACCTTGTGGGTGGACGTCGCACGCTGCGTTTTCCGGTACGCGGCCTCCACTCCAAAATCTTGCTGCCCCATCGGCCGTCAGTTCTGCATACTATGTGCTTGCCCATTGCCACTTCAGCTTGCTAATCCGTCGGGCTATGTCGACTTTAGTTCGTTTACGGATCTCATTTCTGATTCGATCTCGTAAAGAAAGACCGAGCAAAGCCCTCTCCATAGCACGCTGTGCAACTTTGAGCGTATTAACAGGCCTGTTCATCTCCGCGAGTTTACATCGAAAACAAAACACGCACGATGGCCCACCTACAGGATACTATTCGACAAGGCCTCACATACGAGCGAACATTGACTCACGCACGCGTATTCTTGTGTATGATGGAAGAAAATAAAGAAAATGGTGTACCAAATACTGTGCAGTATTTCACTGCCTAAATAATAATACAGAAACACAGAATGTACTTTTTTTAAGTTGCCTCAGGACACTGAGAGATAAATAAGTAGTTAATATTATTAATGATAATTCATGCTAAATCATGTATTTCCTCCGCCATTTTCCGCAGTTTGGCACCTCACGTCACATCATTTTACCGAAGTCAGCCCTATATCTTTGGCGCAGTGCCGATCACTGACGTTTGTCAACTAAATGGTGCTTGACTCTTGAGACAGGCTAAATTACACCATATTGTTAATGACATTGAGCATACATTCTTTTAAATACCTTCGCGAAGTAAAACTTCTGTACGTAGTACTTATTATTATTCTGTGGTATTAAGGCCTATAGTAAGAGGCCACGTTTCCGAGCCATAAGTCATCACTGTATCAGTATTTAGGTAGGCAGAATAGCTTAGGAAACAATGTAGCTGTATTATTATTTTGTAACTATTCTCCAAACAGACGAACCTCCTCCACGAATCGCCAAAGAAAGAGAAACCATCTCCGAAGAAGAAGCGTTCCAAGCTGAGCATAGTCAAAGTGGGGAAGAACTTCCTCATTCTCCATCTGCTGGGATATGCTGTGATGCAGTCGCCTCCGCTGTTCACTTTTATCGGTAAGTTCATCATCATCAAAATTTAAAGCTATGGTACTCTACTACTGGATGTCAGCTTCTCTCCAAGAACTACCTGATTTGACATACGCTGGCAGCTACCCACCCTCCCTTCAGCTACCTTCTGTACTC